CAGGCACAACCATTTCCCTTTCTCCAAAAGCTTAAGGTTTCAAACTCTCTATCTATCTTTACGATTTTGATTCTCTAAGGCCAAGCAAGTGCTCATCGTCTCCGAGTTGGAGGTAACGTTTACGCGATCATGATCTTATTTAGATGTAGAATCCGAATCCAAAACGTTAGAAATCGGTTGTTGATGTGCTCACGTGAATTTACGCGAGCACTTGCCAAGTGCTCACGTAAATTCACACGAGCACTTGCCAAGTGCTCGCGTAAATTCACACGAGCACATGAATAAAAAAAAGTCCGATTTTGTGCATATGAAAAGTACAAAAGGTAAATAGTTATGGTAAAAAGGTAAAAAACCATGGTAAAAAAGTGCCTGAATGTTTAATTTGGCCTGCGTATATCACCACCCTAGAGAGAATTATTTATGCCTCATATTCTTTTTCGATAAATAATAGGGTTGAACACAAAAACATCATTGTACTATGTATTTTGTATTATATACCTTCCTGTATTATACATGAATACAAAAATTCCCTCTTATATTTTTTTCAAAATTTGACGAAAATACCCCTCATAATCATATATATATAAGGGTTTGTTTGAGCCATTTCCATTATATTTTTTAACAATTTCGGTCAATTTCACTTGGGAAATTTTGATATTTTTATTTTTTTTCTTCAAAACATTTAATTACTTAATTTTTTTTTATTAATTTTCAATAAAATCTTTTATTTTTGTCATTTTGAATTTCTTCATTTTTTTCTTAAATGTTTTCCGATAGTTCAAATTCTCCATAATAATAGGCTTATATATAGGGTAAATTACAACCACCCCCTGAGGTATGGTTAAATTACAAAACCCCCCTCTTGTTTAGGTAATTACAACCACCCCTCAACTATAAATCTTCTTACACGTCCACCCTTGCGGTTTCAAATTTAGTGGAATCTTCGAGATTATATGGAATATCATCACTTTTGTACCCATTTTATCCCATTCGAACTCCACATTTTGAAGCAAGATGATCTTAATATGTGTTTTTTGGCTTGTATATATCAGATTCTGGTGCATCAAAAACTGTATTTTTATACAAAACGAGTACAAACTAGAGCACATCCCACAAAATTTAGATGATTATGTTGAATTTGACACTATAGGGGTAGAGATGTAAGAAAAAAATCATAGTTGAGAGGATAGATGTAATTATCCAAACAAGAGAGTTTTTCTTTTAAATAGATCATACCTCAGGGGGTGATTGTAATTACCCTCTATATAGATATATATTAGGGGTATTTTCGTCATATTTTGAAAAAATGTAATGTGAGTGGGTTTTTTGTATTTATGTATAGTACAGGGGTATATAATACAAAGTTCATAGTATAGGGGTGTTTTTGTATTTAACCCTAAATAATATTATTAATGTCTGTCTGGGATAGCAGTATGTCACGAGAGGGGTATTTATTGCTTGCTCAGAATCGAACAGTGCTCCACGTGATGTGGGCTATTTATTGGGCCTGTATTTGGTAATATGTA